TTTTGTTGGTTGTAGTGGCTGAACTCTGGGCCTGGGTTCTGTCCCTCAGCTCTTCAGCTCAAGGCTAGCGCTCTACCATTTGAGCCACAGCACCACTTCCAGCTTTTTCCTCATGCATGTGAGGCAAGCACTCTACCTCTGAGCCACCTTCCCAGCCCCTTTCATTGCCCAGACTGGCTTTGAACCATAATTCTCAGATCTCAGCCTCCTGAGTAGCTAGGATTACAGGCGTGAGCCACCAGCACTGGGCACAATCCTCTACTTTTTCTGGTATTTACTTATTTATTTGTAGGTCGTGGGGCTTGAACTCTAGGCCTGGGCTGTCTCTGAGCTCTTTAGCTCAAGGCTAGCACTCTACCATTTGAACCACAACACCAGTTCTGGCTTTTGTTTTGTTTTGTTTTGTTTTTTGTGGTGCTGAGGAATCAAACCCAGGGCCTCACGCTTGCAAGGCAAGAACTCTACCACTGAGCAACCTTCCCAGCCTCCTCTACTTTTTCTACATGCAAAATATGTAAGGGTACAGGTAGAGGAGGCTGAGGGAAAGAGATGAATTTGGTAAGAAAGCTCTAGAGCTGAGGGAGCGCCCACAGGTAGAAAGCGTGGTCTAGTATGTCCTAGTCCTAGATCTAGAACCCATTCCTGAAAAAAAGAAAATGAAAAGGTTAGGGACTCTTGTTCAGTAGGAAAATGATCAAGCTAATTCCACAAACCCTGCTGGGACCCTTTTGCCATTTGGAGTGGTTCCAAGGCACCAGGGAAGTGTGAAGAACTGAATTCCTGCACAGCGCTCACATCCATTTCCTTCTGAGCCACGGCTGCTGTGCACCTGGGTTAGCCGGAGCCATAAAACCCCATAGCAACCCATCTGGAATTCTGCATCCACAGGTGATGGACATCTGCTGCAGGCCGGTGGCTTTGGATGTGGAGTGTCTTCTCTATAGAGACCGAGGTCCTTTAAGTAGAAAGGATGGATGGACCAGGACGGCAGGCTGGACTCCATGCAGGCCGCTACCCAGTACATGGCTCTCATGTGCCTCGGGTGTGAGGGAAGGCTGGAGGAGCAGGCTTCCTGCAGGAGGAGGAAAGCTGGGAAAGCATAGCAGCACATACCTGTAATCCTGGAGAGTCAGACGGCTGAGATTTGAGGTTCATGGTTTAAAGCCAGCTTGTGAACCTGTTAGCTCCACTTAATAGCAAAAAGCAAAAGCTCAAGTAGTACAGTACCAGCTTGAGGAAAAAACAAACAAAGCCAAGAGAGAGAAGAGGAGATACAAGGCCTTGAGTTCAAGCCCTAGTACTGGCAAAGCAAGCAAGCAAGCAAGAAAGAAAAGAAAGAAGGAAAGGGTATGTACAAGAGAGAGAGAAAAAGGGAGGGAAGGAAAGAAGAAGGGAGAAAGGAAGGAAGGAAGGAAGAAAGAAAGCAAGAAAAAAGGAAGGAAGATAAAGAAAGTATGAATGTGTATTCATCTCCAAGGCCACACAGTTAAATAATGTCCATTATTGATCTCAACATCCCTAAGTCTGACTTTTTCCTCAGGATCTTAAACTCAAGTCTTGGGTGCTGTTCTTTAGCTTTTCCCTCAAGGTTGGCACTCTACCACTTGAGCCACAGCTCCACATCTGGCTTTTTGGTGGTTAACTGGAGTCTCACAGACTTTCCTACAGGGGCTGGCTTGGAACCCTGATCCTCAGATCTCACCCTGAGGAGCTAGGTTTACAGATGTGAGCCAACGGCGGCACCAGGCCCAGCCCTCACTTTGAATCCTAAGATCCCTAAGGGGGAAGAGCCCTTCCAGTTATATTTGGACTCCCCACCCCCCCAACACACACACACACACACACAGACACAGACACACACACACACACACACATATACCCTGCCAGTGACATTTTAGCAATTGGTAGCCTTCCCCTTCATCTCCCAGGGAGCTCCACAGTAACCCCATAGAGAGAGCACCCTGAATGCCCGGTCGAAAGCAGCCTGCTCCAGCCAAGCCCATTTCCTGACCAGAGATGACTGTAGAATTTCCATGAGTGATGGGCAGTGAGGCCAGCTAGGGCTCGGGTGTGCTCCTGCTCTCCGCGGACTTCACCTCTGTGGACTGTGCCAGTCTTCGTGGCATTAACAACCACCATCACCACCACCACAATAATAATAACAAAACAGGCGCTGGTGGCTCACACCTGCAATCCTAGCTCCTCGGGAGGCTGAGATCTGAGAATCAAAGTTAAAAGCCAGCCTGGGCAGGAAAGTCCAAGAGACTCTTATCTCCAATGAACCACCAGAAAACCGCAAGTGGTGCTGTGGCTCAAGTGGTAGAACATTCACCCTTAAACTGAAGAGCTGTGGGACAGTGTCCAGGTCCAGAATTCAAGCCCCAAGACAAACACCACCACCACCAACAAAAAAACCCAAACAAAACAACAACAAACCACACCCAGTCACTGCTCAGTGTCAGAGGCCTGTAATAAATACC